AACAGCCATTTTGCTTGTTTGTATGTACAACACTACCCTGGATCAGAGTATAGTACTGGGTTCCCACAGATCTGTATAAAAAAAAAAAAGTTCCAGGACTTTTCCAAGACTGTGTGTGTGCACACACACATATAGACACACACACACACACACACACACACACACACACACAAATTGAGTGGTGATCAATTTAAAAAAAACACAAAGATTATGATTTATCTTTTAATAGTTTCACAAATGAGATGTTCAAAGAAAAGCTACACCTAGTTCCAATAATTCATGTCATATGGATCAGTTGAAAGCAGTGAAGAAATCCAAAGGTTAAAACACAACTGAATGCAGACCTGGTTATGTTACACATTATGTGTGTCATTCTACACAGTTTGGAGTTCTACTACACTTAAAAATTTTGAATTACACACTTTAATCCTTACTGCAACACACTTCAGTTATCTAGACTACTCATTGTGAATGTCACAAAATTCTTGACTGCTGCACATTTCCTGTAAAGTTAAGTATAATGGTTTTAATGAACATAACTACAAATAGAAATTTTCACAAAAAGACTAACTAACCCTACTACTCATGGCTTTTGTTGCAAATGGCACAAAAGACAATGATTTTATCATTTTTTCAGTTCATTTAGTTTAGCATTCAGCACTTTCAATCTGGATATCTCTATGGATTTGTCCTTTGCAGATCTTCGCATGGCATTGGACTTTGTGATAAATGTGAAGTTCTGAGTCTGCTCACCTTTCTATGCATAGCTGTCAAAGCCTGAGCAAATCTTGTGTACAACTTTCAAGCTTGTGTTTTTTGGTCTTCAGTTCTTCAATTTCCATAAGCATGGATTTCCATTTTTGTCCAGCTGCTTCTTCCTGTCTTTTTTTTCTTCTTCTTCTCAGCCTCATGGTATTGGTTGTATATTGTTCTGGCATGGAAGTACTGCAGAGAAGAGCCTTGGTCATGGGAACATTCCCAGCACCTCCAACTGTGGCCAAATAGTCCATGATAATGCACTGTGCAACCAGAGTCTGCTGTTTCAGACTGTCAGTGGAACTTTCCTTAATGACTGAGAAAGCACTCTCCACTGAGGTTTGTACATGAGAGTACCAGCAATCTCTGAACAACTTTCCAGAGTTTTTGATATTCTTTGTTGCTAGACAAAGAAGAGTAGAACAAAGTGTCCAGACGGTTTTCATGCTTGCTGAAATTCTTGAAAGCAATATTTCCAGCAGCCTCCTCCTCAAACTATTTGTACTGACTGATGATATCATCACAATCAGGCTTGTTGACTTGTTTTCTTTCCCTCGTGTAGGAAAGACATCTTCTGTGGCAATTTTTTTTTCACAAATAGATTCCATGTTCAGCCTTGCAAGTGATCTTACAAGAGGGTATCTAAGAGGAGACTTTGCCAAAAGTTTCTCAGTGATGGTGATGAACGTTGTTGCAATTCTGCATGCAAACAGATCTTTTGTAGACACATTCCATTTTGGATAAATTTTGCATAGCCTAATTTTGCCAGAAAACCACACTTGATCTTTGCAGCGTCTTTATGCATGCCTGGGTTTGATAAAATTCTTACAAATTCATTCAGTTTGGACAATATAATTATCTTTTTAGTGTTCTCTTCTTTAACAAATTTTAACAGTTTCATGATCATGCTAAAAAGATCATCTGCAAGGAAAGGAAGCAACAATATTGCTCTGGTATTTTATCAGAAGTGGTTCAATGTCTTTTGAAACAGACAAAAAAAATCTGCACTTTCATTGGAAATAAAACGTTGTTCATATTCATCGCCGAGGCAGGGTCTAGGAGCATTTTTCTGTTTTTTTAAGTTCACAAATTTGATGACATCTGGCCAAATATCTATGGGCTGTTCACATGTTTGTACATTTTCTAGTCATCTATGGCAGAAATACTGTGAAGAAAAGGAAAGAGGAAGAGAGACGGGGGTACTTAGGGACGGGTTGCTTCGGCCTTGGGGGAATTGTGTCCAGCTAAACTGGAAGCAAGTGACCAACTGATATTCATGGTCTTGGTAGGAGGAGGATTGTGGGAAGCGGTTAGCCTCCTTATAAAAATCGTCCTCCGTACTCTCACGAGATCTATCTTCTCTACCAGCCGACGCGTGACTGGTTAATTGTCATGCTGAAGGATTATTACTTTTCTTTTTTCTTCTCTGTTACTAGACCTAGTTGGAGCGGGTTGCAAGAGGAGGATTCCTTTTGCAAACCTTACCAGGATGTTGCTGCTCTCTTCTGGGTCTCCCCCCTTTTACAGCGTCGAAAGTTTGGTTTTTTTGACAATACAAAAGTAAAGGGACAAGGTTGTCAGATTGAACTTTTAATATATGTTGGGGTTTTAAGTTCCACTGTTATTGGAAAGGAAGGTAAAAAAAGAGCTATAATGGCAATTATTATCATTTGAAACAAAACTCAGTGCAGAAATGATAACAAATTCTTACTTGTACCTGACGTAATCAAATTGAAAAAAAAAACCAAAAAAAAAAAACACTATATGTTACCTACAAGTAATTTAAGTAACAATAGAAAATAAAGAGTCAGGACTTATTAACAGTTTCGGTATCATGTCCAGTTTAGCTTCGAAAGAGAGAGAGAGAGCAAAGAAGAAAAGAAGGAAGAAAAATACATCCTTTGGCTAACTATTTTAGCATTTGATATATCTCTCTTCAAGCACATATGCAAATTTTGACCTCCCCCCTCCAATAAGATGGGAGCCGACTGAAACTCATTTCTATCAATTTTCTGTGAAGACGAAACATCATTTTATTTTCGTCATAAGATAACAGTTGAATTCCATCATTTCTCCCTCACCACAAGAGTTTCGCTAAGTGCACAAAATTTCTACACAAAGCCAAGCAATAAAAGCCAAATAAGTTTTATTAAAACTTATTTGGCTTTTATTGCTTGGCTTTGTATAGAAACTTGTGCACTGTTTTTTTTAATATTTCATCATTTTTTTTACACTTAGAACAAAGCTGGATATACAGTCACCATTAGCCTGCAAACTTTAAAAATAATATTCTTTTATTTTCTATCCTATCTTAAGACACATCAAAGGCACATTTTTTATCATCCTTCTCGTCTACATTTTTTTAGAGGCAAATTTGATTCTCAAACTTATTATTTTTGGCAACAATTTAGACAAACGTAGTTTACACATAGCTACACATTGACACGCGACGCGTGAAGTATCCATTTTTTCAGCATGAACTCACCGACCGCTGGCTAGAGATCAAAAGGACTTTTTACTTTTTAAATTGTTATGTGAATAAAATTTCAATTGTTCAAATTTTAAGAAACACTGATAATTTTTTCTTTTACTTTTATTTATTTATTTTTTTTAAGAGAATCTACTAAAAAATGTATTCTATTTCTGTAAAATAATTTATTTCCCTTTTAACTTTAACTTTCGCCCTTGCATGGAGTATTGCTGCCATATATGGTCTGGAGCCCCTTCTGTTTGCCTCGGGGTTCTTGATAAGATCCAGAAACGGATATGCAATGTAATTGGCCCTGATCTGGCATCTCGTCTGCAGTCGCTCTCTCACAGACGTGCCGTCGCTTCCCTTTGTCTTTTTTTACAAATACTTTCATGGCAATTGCTCCGATGAGCTGCCCTCGCTGGTTCCCAGACTTCATGAATTCAAGCGTCCTACGAGGCTGGCATCCCGCTCTCACCCTTTCACTGTCAAAACTGTTAACTGTAACCGTCTCTTCTACTCCAATAGCTTCATATCTCGCACCTCTCGCCTGTGGAACTCCCTTCCCTTTTCCTGATAGCTATAATCTCCAACTATTCAAATGTAATGTCAATCGACATCTCCAGTTGCCTTGATCTATCCACTATCCTTCTCTTCATCCTTTCCTCTATCCCTCCTATCTGCTTTCACTACAAATCCTAAGTAACCCTTTGCGTGCTAATGGCTTCCAGCCTTGCTTGGGGTGAAATGTTTATAAAATATATATATATATATATATATATATATATATATATATATTTAATGACTGTTAAATTCATTTATCTTTGACAGAAGATGTTTTTACTTGTCTCTGACGCCTTTTATATTTGCTTTCCTCTTAAGACACACTTTCATATTCTTTCTCTCTTTTTTTCTCGTTACCTAGACAAGAAAGTACAGAACTACGAGGTCATGAACTCATTCTAATCATTCCCATAAACAACTATTCGCAATAATTACCAAATATTACTGATGACTAAAACAACATTTTTCTTAAAGGACAGTTTTAGATTGTTTTTTTTAAAAAAAAAAAAAAAAAGACAAATTTCTGGGATTTGGCATTTTGACTTTCATGAATTGAGAATATTAAGTTAAGCAACGTCAAGCCTGGTTAGTATCTAGATGGATGACCGTTTGCAAATATCAGGTGCTTTAAGCTTGGATGTGTGGGTGGTGTAATAGATAATGGCTCAAAAAATGGAAATCAGAGAGTCAAGTTCTAATTCCAGTCAGGTTTGTTATATTCATTTAATGCACAAATGTCATTGAGAAAGGTATGACTCCACCTCTTCTACCCCCAGCTATGGGTTAATTAACAGGACTTGTAACAGTTATTATCTTAAAAAAAAAAACTTATGGGTCATTTAATGCCAAAATTTAATTTTCTTGGGAGCTTGAGTAATTCTTTTTTTTTTTTTACAAAAATCTATTGCTGGTTATTTTTTTACCCCAGTTTGGGGGGGTTCACTATTTGCCCATAGCTGGGGCCCTAACAGGTGCTAGATACACCAGGTCAAGGTGAACCTGGGAACAACAGCAATTAAGAGGTGGTTCCACACTCGCCAAGACCTCCCGACCAGATGTCTTGGTGCTGGATGTATTTTCTTGTCATACCCAGGACAGGATAAGATAATTATACAAGATCAGTCAAAAGATAGTGATCAAAATAACAAGAATGAGGATATCAGTTAATGTCTGTTCGTTTCAGAATTTCAAAGAATAATGTTCGTCTTACCGTTGTAAGGATGAACACCAAAATCCTCAGGAAATGTAAGTGAACAATCAGAGTTTACATGAAATGAAAATGAAGCAACAGTCTTTATGAGTGACGCAAAAAAATCCGACATTTCTTGGCAGTGACTGAAGAGGATGTATCGATCCTGACGATTGGTGAAGTATGTTTCACTCAAGTTGGCTCTGGAAAGAAGCAAATAAAAAGGAAGAATGAGATTTCAAGATATTCGTTTTATATTCCTATTTCTTTCTTTCTTTCTTTTTTTTTTTTAAAATTGTAACAAATTTAATTAAGTATTATCCCATGTAGTGGGTTAGCCAATCTGTATCGGTGACAAATACAAATTAAACTGACCCTCTACTATTTTTACTAAATCAAATACAACAAAGACAACAACAAGAGAAATAATCAAATACGCATTTTATATAACCACAAGTATACACGATATAATAAAGTTGTTTGAAACACTTTAAAGTTTTTGTCTGTGTGATCAAGGGTAATATAAAAGGTGTTCTGCTATAGATCTGGTAAGGAATCAAACAGTTGATGGTGAAATTGAATGAAATAGATTGCTTGACTTACTGTAGAGTTGTCTCGCTTTGACTGATATAGTTATGATTTCTTTTATGTTGTTAAGATATTGAGTGAATTAGTTTCTGAATCTCGTCTTGGTTGAATTGGTCATTAGATGAGTTGATGTTGAAAAGAAATTGAATGCCACAAGCCGGATTGACGTCAATAGAAATTAATTTTTAGCGAGGAAGTTGGGTTTCATGGATTCATGTGACTAGGTGATTATTTTAAGGATTCACTTACTAAGTCGTGTCAAAGTTTTATATTTATGAATTTTCTTGATCATGTGGGAGGCTCAAGAGAATGCTTACCAATTATTTGGCACATTGAATTCTGAACAGGTCAACTCGAGGTCAACCGTGCAGGTAGAGGCTGAAGTATGACATTATTATTTATGGACCAATCAGAGAGCATTGTTTCATACTGAACTCTGGAGCCAATTTTAATGGGTTCAGCACAAACTGAGAATACTTAGCTGTGATCCTTTTTTAACAGGTTTAAAACAGAGAATGTAGAAATCTAATTCTACACCCACACATTTTTTGATGAATATCCTCTTTTTTTTTTTCTTTTTGCAACCTAATTTGACAATCTTGTAGCAATATTTAAAATTGTCTGAGATTAAATATTTTCATTATTCCACTCACATTTTGACTGACATCCTCATTTTTGTTGCTTTTTATTATAATTTGACCACTGTATATTAATACTTGAAGTTTGGTCTGTTTTGTTTTATGGCATATCAACCTCAATGGGTCATTTAATGCTGACAACTTTTTTTTTCTGGTAATATTTTTGTTTTGTCAAAAATCTATTTCTGTTAATATTTTTTCCTCAAAAATGTATAGCTGGTAATATTTTTTTTTTCAAAAACGTATACCTGGTAATATTATTTTTTTCAAAAACATTAGCTGGTAATATATTTATTTATTTTTTTCAAAAACATATAGCTGGTAATATTATTTTTTCAAAAACGTATAGCCGGCAACACTATTCTTTCAAAAAAAAAAAAACGTATAGTTGGTAATATTATTTTTTCAAAAACGTCTTATCAGAGGCCTTGCTGTTGGACGTAGTTTACAGTCATACCCAGGACGTAATACTTGAAGTTGTTTCAGGTACTGGAATGAAGTATTTTTATTATTTCACTCACTTTTTGATCCAATATCCTCATCTAATTTGACTACTGTGTATTAATATTTAAGTTTTATTACAATTCTAATCATCACTTTTTAAAATAATAAAAAATGCCTAAAGTGAAACAATAGTGATGTCAAGGAAAAAAACATCCTTTTGACTCACCGTTTTTTTGCAGTTAAAGCGTTGTATAAGAGTAAGTGATGTTGCCGACACTGTATTTTGAAACTAGATCAGTGAGCAACTCGGGTGATCCTGTTATTAAGTAGATCACGTTATCATAAAGGAAGTGAATAAATAAGAAGTAGCGTGATGACTATACAGATCACTGTTCCCTCTTCTTGTCTATCCAATATTGCTATATGTTCGATCTGTCTACTCTGCTACTACACGGATTAGAATTCTCTTCTGATCATTATACTATTTGGCGATTACTACTTGAACAAGTATTACTAGTGCAGATATTATTAGAAGGCGTTATTAATACTAGTACCAGCGTCTATGAAGTCTCGAATATAACGAGCATTTTTGGAAGTGATAATTGACATAGCAAAAGTGACAAGCGAAGCCATCCAACATCACAAAAGTGGCGACGAGGATTCACAAGGAATCACAAAAAGTCTGCCATAATTTATTTTATATGAGGCACCCAATGAGGATTATTAACCCAACTAGCCCTGTTAACCATTACCCAACACTAAAGCACCTTATATATAATTTTAGGAGATCTACCAAAATATAATAACTTGGACATTACTGAAAATCTTGCTTGTAGCTCAAAGAATTACTTACAAAAAAATGAATGAGATCAATCGTTTGAATGATTCTTGGAAGAAAAGAATTATATATAAATTTATTTTCCTTAAAAAAGAACTGGTCCCAAATTATAATTTGGAAGGGTAATGTGAAAAAATAAACATAAATGAATTACCAGGTTAACCCACCAAAGACAAGTGTTAAAAAAACAAAAAAAAAAAAACCTTTACACCATCTATGGCTCATACACAACAAAAGGTGAAAACCAGATTTTTCTACAAATTGAACCAATTGTAAGATGACTAATGTGACCCTAGAAAATAGAAATATTTATACTGTAGAGCAGCATTTTTCAAACTTTTTTTTTTACTGCAACCTACAGCAAGAACCATATTTTGCATTGCAATCCATTATACCTATGTGTAATAACTCAAAGACAACTCTGTTCACTAGGTCCATTTATTAAGTATCAGCAATCTATATGTATTCTTATGATCCACACATATTGGAATTGCATGTATCTATTTGAATGAATATAAAATTATGACTTTTAGAAAAACAAATTTAATGGAAATTCTAGCACAAAGATAAAGTAAATAATCTCTAATGTGTTTGACGAACAAGATGCATAAACTCACTGAGAACAGACTATATATATATTATATATATATATATATATATATATATATATATATATATATATATATATATGAGACATGTTTCATTGAATAATTTAGACATGTTCTGTCTACTTATTTTCAAAAGGATTGTTTTGTATTCAGGGATAAGCTTTTTGGTGTCATTATTGAAGGATGAGAGAAAAATCGCAATATTGATACATATTTCGTTTATTTCTGAGTACTTTCGACATATCACAATGTCATCATCAGGGTATTGTTTATTACAAGATAAATATTGTAGTGTTCATTATTGTGAAAGATAAAAAATTGGTACATGTCTAAATTATTCAACAAAACATGTCTCAATGAAAACATGCTGCCAAAATATATGCATATATATATATATGTGTGTGTGTGTATGTGTATCTATCTATAATTATATTTAAAAAAAATGAAATATAATACGAGTTTACTGCGATGAAAAATCTGTGATGATTTATGGGTGCTGTGCAACATTTAGAGTTGTTTATATTCTGCACTTTGACCTCACTTGCATATTTTTTTTTTCTTTCTTACTTTTTCATCACAACCCATTTTATTTATCTTGGGACCCACTGAAGAGTCGGGACCCACAGTTTGAAAAACTGCTGTAGAGACTAGCACTACAATTTGTATTGTTTGTGCTTGCTGTTGGTCACCTGTTTGTAACAGAGGTGCTACTTTGTAATGGATATGGTTCACCACTAGTTTGTAGTTGGTGTTACTTTGTAACAAATGTGATTGATCACTAGTTTGTAGTGGGAGGTGCTACTTTTCAATGGATGCAGTTGTTTAGGAACTGTGACAAAGATTTTGAGCAGTTTCAAACAAATTCAATGTCTGGCAGATATATATATATATATATATTTATTTTTTCATGTAAACATTATTTTTAGTGGATGCCTATATTTGAATAGATGCTTAGTTTATTTATTAAATACTAGAAGTAGAGCCCGGCATTGCCGAGGATGTAACAGTAAGAGATAGATCAAGTATTGACCATCATAAAGACTGAAAAATAAAATTGACAAAGATTATTGTTTAAGGTTGATTTGACACGCATGTCTTAATTAGTTTTTTTTTTTTTTTGGTTTTTTTTTTTTTAATTGGTCAAACTCAAACAAAACATTGTTTTCAATCGTTATGAGTTTATCGATTGAATAAAATTTTATTATAAACAATTGTTTTGTAAATGGAATTTTTAAAGCATTCTGAATGTAAAAATAAAGAAAAAATGTGCAAGACAATAAGAAACACTACCTGCCAAAATAAGTGAAGTTTTGTTGAAATCTGTTGAAAAATGTAGGCAATCTGATCCCATATATAAACGAACACATACACACACAAACAACCTGGGTTTTATAATAAGTATAACTCGATATGAGTTGTCCCCCTTTCATTCTGGCGACAGAATCGTGTTTTATTGTGTTTTCAAATAGATTTCGTGCAAAAACAATTGTGTTTTTCCAATTTTTGGTGCAGTCAGAACCATCGCAAGGTAATTTTACGCAGTCCTGTGAAGTTTTGTTGAAATCGGTTGAAAAATGTAGAAAATCCGATCCAATATATAAACGTACAGACACACACACACAATCTGCGTTTTATAATAAGTAAGATTATGTTTATTTATTTCCATCTACCAGCATGAATATTTGAAAAATCTTATTAAACAAAAATATGTACATTCTGGCAGGATTCGAACCCGTGTCCAACATGCCCTAGGCTGACTCAAGTCACAAAGTAAGCAAATAAATGAAGTGTCTACTCAAATACAAGTATCCACTAAAAATAACATTTAAGTGATAAGATCTATATAAAAAAAATCCATTACTTCTTTAGAAATATATTTTTCTGTAAAGAACAATATAGCTGACAAATAAAAGAGAAACATTTTATTTTCATGTATACAGATAGTTGAAAAAAAGAAAAGTGTAGTGTAGTGTTACTGACTCACAGGAAGTAGTATGCACTCAATTGCCCACTGTTTCATGGTTTCCCAAATAATCAGGCACAAATGAGCCACTTATTAGAGTTTTTTTTTTAAATACTAGGTCTCA